CTTTGATACAATAGAATTTCATGCAAAATTATAAAACACATTTCTTTTGAAAAATCACTGTCTAAAAATAAGATAGGTCATATGATTTTGTGTATCCAGATAGTACAATAACCAATTACAATTTCAAATGACTCGAGAAAAATTGATTGTCCATCCTAAATAGGATAGAGCCTAAAGACAGTAGAGGAGAAAATACTTTACTTTCCATTCTCATTTCAATTGGAAATATCATTAAGAATCCAAGATGTGGGGCGCCTGGGTGGCTTAGTCAGTTGAGCGCCTGACTTCGGCTCAGGTCGTGATCTCACAGTTTGTGGGTTCAAGCCCCATGGCAGGCTCTATGCTGACAGCTCAGAGCCTGGAGCCTGCTTCAGATTCTGTGTCTCCATCTCTCTCTGCCCATCCTCTACTCATGCTCTGTCTCTCTCTCAAGAATAAATATTTAAAAAATGTTTTTCTTAATGAAAAAAAAGATAAATTAAAAGAATTCAAGATCTGTTTTGTTTTTAATAAATGAAGGAAACCGTGTTTTCTATCTCTGTTAACAAAATAAAAACTGGAAACAGTGACCAGGCCAGCAATAGCCAGCTAGAGAATTACAGTTTTAGTCAGGAAATATACAGATGAATCTAGAGTATCTTATCACACCAGAAAGCAGGAAAGTTATCAAAGACTATTAGACTAATGCAAAAAGGATCCAAGCCAACTTGAAAATGCTTCCAATGGCCACAACTAAGCATTAGTAAAAACATAACTTATGGATTAAATCTTAGTACATGTATTTTAAAATCATGACTGTATCTGTAATCTTCAGGGAAAAAAAAACAAAAAACAAAACCCACTGATACTCTCCAGAGCAGAAGCCACAATTTCCATCTTTCTGGCATTGCACTTTTTATCACTTTGCAACCTTCATGTAATAATGGTTCTAGACACTGGTGTGTACCTATACCACAGAAATACATAGGAGTAGACTTATGTACTTCTCGGGAGAAGTGCACATCACCACCTATGAAAACAACTATCTATTTCTGCCGAAAAAAAAAAAAACCCTTTAGTCCAAATGTGAACAAACTTCTAGATCTTATTACCAATTTCTAGGATATACAGAGGAAAGACAGACTTGTTAATTGACACCACAGGGTCACAATCAGTAAAACCCACACTACGGGCATTTCTGAAGGACAATTTACTCCATTTTCAAAAATAAATATGGAGATAAAAGCTGTAGATTAAAAAAAATTAAGAGACACACTAACTAGTGGTTATTTGTGGACATTCTTGAAAGAGAATGAAAGGAACATTGAAAGATACAATGATTCAAATAAATGGGAAACAGAAGAATAAAATACATGACAGAATTTGAGAAAGTTAACAACTGCTGGACACTTGAACATATTTTGGCACAATTATGCATAGGAGCAAGGTTATTGTATTATGGTTATAGTTTGAAATAACTATTTTCGTACAGATACATACTGAGATATTTATAGATGAAATGACAGGATAGCTGAGATCTTCTTTAAAATAATCTGGGGAAAATAAATGAGTAGAAAGAAAACAATACTGGCCATCAGTTGGCCACTGTTGAAGCCAGGTAACAGGTCCATGAGAATTCTTAATAGTATTGTCTCTTTTTAGTATGTGATTGAAATTTTCCATCATCAAAAGTGACAGAGCAAGGGAATAGTAAGAGAAAAGAAAAAATATATAGAAAAGAAGACTGGTAGAAGCTCAGGGACTATGTCTGAAGCTTTGAACAATATATTAAGTCTATTATGTCTTTCTTTTGAAGGCTCATTTCTTCTAAGATTAAGTTAATATTTAGTATGTTTTATCATATTATACAATAGGTTACCTAGGTTTACACTATGGACTAATCACCATAAAAATCTAAACAAATTATCCATTTAGTCGTTTCTCTGTTAGAGTTTGAAAATTTGTTAGACTGGTTTATATTGGATAGAACTGCATTTAATTCAGGAGATTACAGTCATTCATGCTCAGAGTACATCCTGAGGCTTTTGGTTTGGGCTAGTTAGCTCCTTTTGTCTGTCGTTGATTTGAAAACTATTCAGGGGTTTCTGATCAAGTTTGGTGTTAGTCATATATAATATCTGATACACTCAAGTACTAATGACTAGTTTCCATATAAAATAGATTATGCCTCCAATTATTTAACCAAGGAATTATAGTTTGGCTGGATAATGAGTTCAATGAGGAAATTTTAGGTAAAATAAGGCAAATTTCTAACAGGGAAGACTCAGACTTATATCCAGTACTGCTTCATATACCACAAGAAGCTACAATGGACAGGTTAGCGTTAGTGGTTATTTTTTTCTCAACTTTGTGATGAATTTATGTGTGTAGCAAGCAACTTCTAAGAGAGCTCACTCAGTTGAGCAACTGACTCTTGATTTTGGATCAAGTCATGACCTCAATCATGAGATCAAGCCTCATGACAGGCTCCACAATGACAGCAAAAAGCCTGCTTGGGATTCTTTCTCTCCCTCTCTATGTGCCCCTACTGCATTCAAGCATGTATCTGCATGCACATGCTCTCTCTCTCTCTCAAAATAAATAAACATCTTAAAAAAATAAGAGAAGCCCATCAGCAATCACCCTACCTCTCTCTCAGTATTCACCATCTGTATAAGCCTCTCCTAGTGAGTATGGGTTGTATATATTGACTTGCTTCAAAAGAAGAGGATAGGACAGAAGTGATGAGATATTCTTGTAAGATCTAGTTACAAAACTGTGCCTTCAATCCTAATGTCATGTTGTGAGGCAACTCTGCAGAGAAGTGCACATGGCAAGGGATTAAATCCTGCCAGCACCTACTTGAGTATGCTTGGGAGCAGATCCATTTCCACATGGATGACTCAGGTGAGACTACAGCCTCAGCCAACAGAAAACAGCTTGAATACAATCAAATTAAAGACCCTGAAGCAAAGCCAACTGGCGGTACTGTGCCTAGACTTATGTCTCACAGAAACTGAGATAATGAATGCTCATTATTTTAAGTTACTAAATCGGGGTAATCAGTTATGCAGAAAGCACAATACAAGACGTAATACAATATTCAACTTAGTGATAACAAGTCATGACCATTTATCCATTTGTTTATTTAATATTCAATAAATCTCTTCTTAGAATCAAGCCTGCACTAAGCTCTGGGAAGACTTCAGATCAGTTCAGATAGCAACCTGTAGAACATAACAAAAGAGTGTAAACCAGACTATAAGAAAATGGTATGCAGGACAAGCTCCCTGGGGAAACACCATTGTGGACAAAGAGTCTAGAGGTAGGAAAGTGCTTTCAAATTTGAGAAACTCAAAGAAGTAGTGTTGGCCTGACTAGTGCGTAAAATGGAGAAGCAAGAGTATCATTTTAAGAGGACAGACTTTGGTATCACATAAATCCAAGTTTATCTGCATGTCTCTGCTTTGCCACTTCATGGCAAGGTTAAAAGGATAATTTAGGAATGCCCCTGTGCCTCGATTCTCTCATCTGGGGAATAAAAATAATAGTACCTATTTCAGAAGGTTATTAACAGCATATGCTATTAAAAGCATATTAACATAACATAGGTGCTGAAAACTGTGTATTATTGTTGTTGTGTCTGTCGTCTTTAATAGCATCATTAGTAATGTGAGAGATCTTGTAAGATGTGGCAAGGAATTTTTACATTAATTTAGGAGCAATGGAAAGCCAAGCAACAGATATGAGTGGAGAATAACATGGTAAGGCTCAGGAGTTCTAAAGATCAATCTAACAGCCATATAAGGTGTGAGAGAGACAAGATCGGAGGCAGGAGAGCACTTAGTAGACCGTGTGATAATCCAGACAAGAGCTGGGGTACATAGGTTAGTGGCAGGGCTGATGAAGAAGGCACAGTTGAAAGATATTCAGCTAAAATATAAGTGTTTCAGAATTTTATTTGCTTCATGGATAAGACAGAGGATGGGTGAAAGATTATTCCAGGTTTAGGAAACTAGGCAAAACATACACAGGTCAGATGAAGGAAAATTGCTTGGAACAAGAATTTGTGAAATATGAGATATTACTGATATTTAAACTTGAGGTTCTGAGGGACTTTTAACTGAATTTCTAGATCAAAAACACAGGATAGTAAATATTTAAACACAGGGCTAGAGACTGATTTTGTCTATAGCAAGTAGAGGATATCTGAAGCCATCAGCATAGTTTTCCAGAGAAAACCACTCACCTATGTACAGAAACCAGAAGTTATAAACAGAATCCTATAAACAAAATTAAGAGGAAGCCACAAACAAACAAACAAAAAAGAGGTTCAGAAAAACAAGATGTTACAAAATGGGATCAGATTCCTTCTAGAAGAAAGTATTAGACAAGAGGGCCAAGTGCTGCAGTAAATCAAGGTAAGGACTGATAATGTCTCGTGGATTGCTCAAAGGGTTACTGAGGATGTCACTGAGAGCAGTTCCTCCAGAAGGTGAGACTGGAAATCAGGCTACAATAGATGAAGGAATAAAAAGTTTAATTACTTTAAATCAGGACGGCTTCAGGTAACCGAGGATTTTTGTTTTGTTTTGTATGGTTTCAATTAATGGAAGGAACTTGAATATGGTGGAATGTTGATGGCAGTGGGGAGAATGGAGGGAGGGGAACCATAGCTCAGAAGAAGATACAGTCTTATTAAGAGCATGGCTACAGAAGTAAGACTCTTTAGAAGTTTGGTGCCAAAATGATAGTGATGCTCCCATGTGTGAGTACAAAATTACACTCTGAAGTTGGAGTCAATACCATGCCTAAGAATAGGGATAAATACAGTGGGATTAGACCAACATTTCTCAACTCAAGGGGGACTGTGCCCCCATCCAGGCAACATTTACTAATAACTGGAGATATTTTGGTTGCTAAAACCATGCACTGGGAATGATATTAATATCTGGAGATAACTAGGGACATCTGATGGTATAGGCCAAGGATGCTTCTAAATAGTGTGCAATTCACCAGACAGGCTCTAACAAAGAATTATCCAGCTCAAAACACCAACAGTGCTGAGGTGAAAAAACCCTGGGTTAGGCATTTGAGGAAGTGCTGGAGGTTTAAAATATTCACTGAGGAGGATGGGAGCTCACTATGCAATCATGGTATGCTTGCTCTAAAACATTCTGTGTCCAATGGAGATAGAGACCAGTATTTTTTTTAATTTTTTTTGTGTTTATTTATTTTTGAGTGAGAGAGAGACAGAGTGCAAGTGGGAGAGGAGCAGAGAGAGAGGGAGACACCAAATCTGAAGCAGGCTCCGGGCTCTGATCTGTCAGCAGAACCTGACATAGGGCTCAAACTCACAGACGGCGAAATCATGACCTGAGCCAAAGTCAGACGCTTAACGGACTGAGCCACCCAGGTGCCCCGAGACCAGTATTTTTTTTAATGGCAACCATCTGCACACTGTATAATTTCCTGCAGCAGTACTGTTTGAGTTAAGGCTTAGCAAAGTGAAAAGTTAGACTAATACATGGATAGAGCTTTAACCAAGAGGGTGAATTTGAAGGATCAGGGAATTGAGGATCTCACTATAAGATCCATGAATCACTGAAGTGATAGAACATGGTATCTAAACTAGGCAAGGAAGGGTATAAAATAAAATGTAGCCAAAAGAAAGGGTGAAGATAGGGGACCTAGAGCTCCCTATAAAATTCAAAAAATGTGCAGGAGTAATTTAGTAAAAATTCTGGAATGACAAAATGTGTGGTCAGAGGTTAAGGAATAGCGTTGGTACTTAATTTTTCAGCACAGTGAAGACGATGAGAATATCCAGACCAGGCCCAATAGGTAGGTAGATGAAAGTCACTGGAAATGAGAAGGGTAAGGACTTGAGAGGCCAGAGTGATGAATCAATCGCACAAGACCAGTAATGGACCCAGTATGTATATCTCTACATCTCATGTTGTTTTATTATTAAACATGAATAGAAAAAGAAGCAACAAAAAGTGAATACTGTAGTAACTGTAATCAGAGGGACTCCTTGCAGGGTCTAACACTAGAAAGACTGATAAAGGAATTAGTGATGCAGAATTTAACAGCTAGGTACTCAACAAGAGTATAAAAAGCCAACTTTGTAAACTTAGAGTTGAGTAATGGCTAGAGTTGCAGTAATATTCTCTCAAGGTACCACTTCAGTGGCTTCTGCACTGATTGAATAAAGAATAAATGAGATTACCCAAGAGTAACAGACTATTTTTGAGGCAAAAGGGTGCTTCAGTGGGTTAGACAGTGGAAAGTTATCTATAGTTAAATATTCTGTAAAACTCAGCAGTGAAATTGGGAATGGAATTTACCAATTTTTTTTTTTTTTTTGAGAGAGAGAGAGAGAGAGAGAGAGAGAGTGTGCACACTCAAGCTGGGGAAGGGCAAAGAGAGAGGGAGAGAGACAGTCTCAAGCAGACTCCAAGCCCAGTGCAGAGGCGAATTAGAGGCTCCATCCCATGCCGTGGAGATCATGACCAGAACCGAAATCAAGAGTCAGACTCAACCAAATAAGCCACCCAGGCTCCCCTTACCTATTAGATTCTTAATAGGTAAACTTGAGACAGAAAGCAGAGAGTAAGGTGCTAAAATTTTCAAGGATAGGGAAAGAATGCCCAGTCAATGGATAGAAGCAATATGAAGACTGGATTACAGTATAACCTTTCCACCGAAGACGTGGCAGAAATGGTGGTCATTTTTTTTCAGCTTTGGGCTGTTGCTGTAAATGCCACTGATAGAATTTGCCACTGATTGCCATTAATACCTGGGGGAGCTTGTTAAAAATCTGGATTCCAGAACTAATCCCAGACTATGCCTCACTAAGTTTTTTACATATTCCAGGGATCTATGTTCTTAACAGTTTGTATACCTTATTCAGGACTGAAGTTTGGAAAACCAGTAGTATTTACTACTTAATATACATCTATCTCATCACTGAAAGTTTAATTACTTCAGTTCATTTTCACAGAAAACTTATTACAAGCCAAATGCTTTTCTAAGTACTTTAAATTTATTTAAATTTATACTTTAAATTCAAACTTTTAAGTTATTTTATTCAACCCTCTTAATAACTTCACAAAGTAGATGTTATGGACATTTTCAATTTAAGAAAATTAGGTGATAAAGCTACCATCCGAGCACAGATAGTCCTAACAGAGCCCATTCCCCTTCTAACTATGCTATCGTCATAAAATTAGCTAACTAAAATCAACTTTTTCCTTCAGCTTTTAAGTAGAATTTGATCATGTATATTGTTACCAAGTCATCATATGTTCATCCTAAGCCTTGATTGGTGGTATACATTTTCATAAGAAAAGGGAAGTTACTTACAATTAAATAAAATCATTCTGTCAAAACATTTCAAGGCAAAAATTTGTCAGAGAAATAAATAATTGAAGTCATTAGTGGTAAAACTTACAAATAATTTCTATGGACCATACACTTAATTACTACTTCATTTCCTTAGCCCAATTAGGTATGAATTTAATTAGGAAGTTTATCAGCTCAAGAAAGGGGAATAAAGGGAACTCAACTCTTTGAGATCATGAATCTCAATGTTTGAATACTTACATTTAGTTCATTTTTTAGTATTTCTTCAAGATGATGACCTACATGATTCCCATCTTCTTTTGTGTCCATAACTACGCAAATGTGTTGTGAAACTCTTTCTGAGATAAAAAAGAAAAAAATAATAAGTTTCTAACAGAAAAGGGAACAAAGCCCTAGTATGCTAAAACCTGGGTTTACCTACTGTTTGTAACTGTCAAACTACAAAGCTTTTACCTTCAGGCCAGTGAAGTCACTTGGAATTCCCACTGATAAGTCCTCTACTCTTTCCCACCCAAGTCAGTAAACGTATGGATTCAGTGCTGTGTAAGTGGCTAGCCAGGACATTGTATAAGCAACAGAAATAAGAAATCATAAGATTTATCTAAAAAGTACTAACCAAAGGTGACGGCCTCTGCCTCACAGTTCATTCCTTTTCTGTCTATAGTCTCCTAGAATCTGATAAAATCCCATCTGTCAGGCGGATACCCCACTTCAGGCTAGAAAGTACCTCCTGTGTGCAGCTCACTGTGCCACCTAGTGTTCTGGGTGAGTGTAGCAGGGTCCTTGGCATCCTTAATTCAGTCAATTCAATACAATTAAGTTCTTGCCTGTTTAACTGTTACCACAAGTGAAAATAGCCCAACTAATTTTCTTCAACTTTGTTAGGTGTCTTCGACATGACCCAATTTAAAAGCACAACTCACCTGACATAATAACGTTCACCTTTATAAACCTTGGATGCACTCTCTCAAAAGACATACAGTCCTACTGTACAAAAGTTAAATCTAAAATACTAAGAAATAGCTATATTGTTGCCAATTAAGACATTGCATTGTATTATTTTAAAAGCTTTAAAAATGGCTTTATTTTAAATAAGAATCCTAAATCAAGTTAGTTTAACATTTAAACCAGCTGCTCTTACATGAGCAACTCCATATAACATGGTGTGTGTGTGTATATATATAAACATCAATCTAGTAATCATCATTTTTCCAAGCAAACCTGGGGACAACAGACCATTTAAAATATTAAGAATAGCATTAATTAATAGTACTCCTTTTACTAACTACCTCCCATCTATCAAGAATATCGTATGGTGCCAGAGCTCTATGTTCTATTATTACCAATCTTCATGACAGCTTTACAAAAATTATTATTCTGAATCTATATAACAGATTCCAGAAACCTGACTTCACAGAAATGAACTTTTTTATGATCACTGTTGCTGAGGCTTTATCAACTTAACATTTTTTTAAAAAGTTGTATTGGTTCTCTTCTATGTTTATTTTCTAGTTCTTGAATTTCTACTATCCAATATTTTCTTCCTTCTACTATCTTTGGATTTAGTCTGCTGACTTCTTTCTTGAAAAAGATATTTAAGTACTTGACTTTCAGCGTTTCCTTTATTCTAATACTTAGATATGAAGCTCTAAGTTTTCCTTCCATGGCCTTCCCTGTATTTCAAACACTGTGATATTTTCATTCAATATAAATAATTTCATTTTCACTTTAAAAATTTCATGCACTTATTCTCACTGTATTTTATGATTTCCATTGTAATTTCTCGTACATTTCTCATGAATTACACAGATTCTTTTTATTGTTTTGCTTTTGTTGTACAACAAATTACCATAAATTTAGCAAACACCACTAGCTAGTTCCCAATTCTGTAGGCCACGCAACAAAGAGAAAACACGTACAGAAATGATAAAACAAAGCGGGGGGCATACTGTCAACAATGGGTGAATTGCTATATCTAGGTAAAAGAATGAGAGTTATATGTCCTATTCGTACGTCTTTTGTTTGAAATAAAAAATATTCTAACCCAAAAAACAAATAAGGTGCAATAAAAAAATACATGAATATGTGTATGTGACATATGTATGTATATAGTAGGAGACCTTAAAATTCACCTTTAAAATATTTTTTAACTATTGGATGTGACGAATATATTAACCTTATTGTGGCAATCATTTCACAACATGTACATATATCAAATCATTACATTGCACACCTGAATCTTGCATGATGTCATACACCATTTATAACTCAATAAAGCTAGATTTAAAAAAACAAATTCACCTCTATTCACTGAAGATCGACTGAAAAAAACACAATACCTAGACTCAAGGCAATGTAATAACAAATATGATGAATCTTTTATCATGTCGATTTCTAGATTGTCTGTTGACACCTTGTAATTCCCACTGATTTATACTCCAGAGTAGTCCGTGCCACACTGACCATTTTCTTTAGAGTGTCCATTGTCCATCCTAGTATGTCCTTTCCCCAGTCTTATTAAATCCTCTACCTGTTCAGTGGCATTCACAGTGTAGACCAGGTTAAATCTTCATCAGTTCCCCCAGTTCAATGGTTCTCAACTCTGGTTGCCCAGAAGAATCAATTCTGAATAGTTCTGTTTTGCTTTTATATTTTTCAAATATACTCTTGAAATGCACCCAATAAGATTCTTGCCTGTATTTTTTTGAAGCTCCAAAAGTGATTCATATGTTTAGTCACATTGAAAAGCTTTGCTTATCCACTGCCCTGATTTTCTCTAATATGGGATTTATACAAGTTTTCACTTAGAAAAAAAAAATGAACTGCCTATGATAGCTGATTAATCTCCCCAAATCGGTGTAAACTTTTTGAATACAATCCTTTTGGGGTAATTCTGCAGTTTTCTCTCATCTACTCCGTATTGTAGCAATGGGAGCGTGGTAAGAAGTGTTATTATTCAATTCGCTTTGAGACTGCTAGTGTCAAACTATTTAAAAAACCCAAATCCAACCACCTACTCCGATCTGCATGACTTACTAGTGTTTACAATTTAGCCATCCCTCACCCAATATTATGAAGGCAATATAAGAAAAAACATGCAATGTTCGTCAATTATAAATATAAGGCACTTCTTGGGCATTTAATAATGTTTGTTAAATTACTGATCAACATGCAATTTTTAAAATGCTACAGGAATCCAATTCAAAATCCAAATTCTATAAATGGTATATTCATACTTAACAATTTTCTGCATGTATGAAATATGCAGAAACTAAAAATCAGTTTCTATATAGAAAAGCCAGGCTTTCTACACAGAATTTATAAATATAAAAGAAATGAAGGAAACATGGAATACAAGACCCAACATTACAACATTTTAATGAGGATTAAATGAGTTAATATACCTCAAGTTACAGAAAGTGTCTGCTACAAGATTATCCCCAATAATTGTTCACATAATTGTCATTGCTATGGTTACATGGATTCAACAAAAATATAAATTACAATTATTTTTGTCTACTTAAGATATGACCCACCTGTAACTGCAAATGGTCCCTGGTCTCTGTGGTCTTAATTGTTTCAGTTTGGTTGAAAAAAATCTATTTCAACTTTCTCCCATTAATGTTTTCAAATTTTAAAGTTGCACCCATAAAAGCAGTAATTATATGTAATAATAAAATCCACATCTCGAGTAACAGTCCTATTTTTCATCCCTGCACTTTTTTAAAGTATTTTTTCTTTTGACAGAGACAGTGCAAGTGGGGGAGGGGCAGAGAGAAGTGAGGGAGGCAAAGAATCCCAAGAAGATTCCACATTGTCAGCACAGAGCCTGACAGGGCGCTCAAACTCATGCAAGTGTAAGATCGTGACCTGGGCAGAAACCAAAAGTCCAATGCTTAACATTCTGAGCTACACAGTGCCCCTCCCTGAACTTCTTTAAAATTAAAATGGATGAATTCTGATCATTCATATCTAGGTTTATTCATGAGATCTAGGCTGAAGTGATTTCTATGATAATCCCACAAACACACACTGACTATCTTAACTGGGAATATTAATGTATGTAAGATCTTCACCAACGAAAGACAACAACGTTTGCACTGGTGCCACACAGCTGGAATCCGAAAATGGTCAAGAATGTAGCTATAGAAACAGGGCTCAAATAAATTGAACCTCCTCAATTCCAGTTACTTCAGTATCCCTAACTCAGAGAGAAAAAAAAAATCTAACATTTAAAATTCATTTTTTCGTGAAGCACAAAATTCTTTCCAAGCATAATATAATTAATACTTAACTATTTCTGAAAGCAAAGAATTTAACAACTTCCCTGAGGTTAATAATGAAATCAACAAAAACAGGAGCCTTTAGAATTGTTATTCTAATTGTTGTTCTAACTATTAATAAAGCAATTCTTAAAAATTTTTAGAGATTAAAATAAACACAACAATAGCATGAGGGAAAACCATAACATCATTTTGTTTACCAGAATCATAAAAACTATACCACAAGAATCTAGTCTTTGTTCTCTCACTTGAAAAAGACCTAAAGATAAATTATAAATATACTACAGTTAAATTTAGATCATACATGGGGCACCTGGGTGGCTCAGTCGGTTAAGCATCCAAGTTCGGCTCAGGCCATGATTTCACAGTTTGTGGGTTCGAGCCCTGCATCAGGCTCTGTGCTGACAGGTAGCTCAGAGCCTGGAGCCTGCTTCAGATTTTGTATCTCCCTTTCTCTGATCCTCCCCTGTTCACACTGCCTCCCTTTCTCCCTCCTTTCCTCCCTCCCTCTCTCTCTCTTTCTCAGAAATAAATAAAACATTTTTTAAAAATTAAAAAAAATTTAGATCATACCTGACCTGTCAACTTTATGATTAATATATTTTTTTAAGTTTATGCATTTATGTTAAGAGACAGAGCACGCATGCATGTGTGCAAGCAGGGGAGGGGCAGAAAGAGAGGTAAAGAGAATCTGAAGCAGGCTCTACACTGTCAGCACAGAGCCAGATGTAGGGCTTGAACTCACACACCATGAGATCATGACCTGGGCCAAAAACAAGAGTCAGCTGCTCAACCAACTGAACCACCTAGGTTCCTCACTACTATTAGCTTGTTATTTTTCGTTGTCATACTATCTTTTTTATAAAATATATTTTTTAAATCTTCCTAAAAGACAGTTTTGACACATGAAGTATTTTAATATCTAAACCTGTAGGTATGTTCCCCACCAAAATTAGTTTTTAACATGTATTCTCTGATCTACACTGAATAACTCATTATTTACATAAAGCATGTAGGTTTTACACAACTCAACAGGACTTAAAACAAAAATTCTA